AGATTGACCACAGAGGCAGCCTCTCAATGCTTCTGCTTTCTGAAACGCTCCCCCTTCCAAGGAGTAGGCATGTGCTGTGTGGGGGGAGACGACTGGTGGGAGTTCGCTGCACCCCAGAAAGGGAGCAGCTGTCCTGGGCAGTGCAGGTTCCAAGTCCTGGTGGGAACCCGTCTCCCTACGGAGGCCAGCTCGGAGCAGGACAGGAAGCAACGCTCAGGTTCCCCGTAGCTGACCAGCAGAAAGAGAAGCCCCGTTTGCCGGCAAACACGAGCTTGGGCTACTTGTTTCCTACATGAAGCCAGGGTGGTGAGGGAAACCTGGAAACTGTCGGACACCTCAGACAAGAGCTTGGGGGAGGTGGGAGATCCGAGTGTCTGGGGGCAAGGTGTGAACACAGAGGAAAGGAAGAAGGATCACTTCTTATTTGGGGCCTTCTAGCTGAGCTTCTGCAAGCTTTTCAACCCTCTCTGGCAGCGGGCACGGAACCATGCAAAGGCACTTGGCCACAGCTCAGCCGAATGGCCATTGCCACAGCTCCAGCTAGACTCGGGGCGGGTTCACAGACAGGTGAACAGAGCGGTGAGCCACCCTGTCAAGCGGTGAGTGTTCTGTGGGATCTGTGGTTCACGATGGCGTGCTGAACACGTGGGCTCCTCCCATCCCTCGTGAAAGCCCATGAAAATGAGAGCAAAGAAAGACAGACAATGGGGTAATAAGGGATGACAGCAGGCGAGAGATGCCAACCCACGTGTAGCGGGGCAGAGGACCTAACTGCCCCACACGGGCAGAGGCACGCCACCGAGCGGCCACGGCTGCGGTTCTACCCCATGGGGGAGTCAGAGGAGCTCTATTTCAGGGGGATGCCGGGCACAGCAAGGCAGGAGCAATTCAGCGAGTCTCAGTACTGATCGTGATGAACTTGCCTGCTTGGGTCAGGACACGTGTGTGCTAGGATCTCTGGGTACAGCTCTACAGTCTGCGCACTGAACAAAGGCACTTGGCTAAGGGAAGAGTTGGGAGTAAAAATCTATTCCTTGCTCTGCTACTCAAGTCTTGCCCTAGCTCAGGTCTACATCTCACTGGAGAAAGGGGCAAGAGAGGCCACCTGCCGGTCAAGCCAAGTGCCTATGGGTGGCTTCTGCCCAGAGGGGGCATCCTTCTCTAAGTCAGCCACCGAGAGGGAAGGCCTTTTCTCGAAATTGCATGAGGACTCTGCATAGGCCAGTAGCAGCTCTATGGATGTCCCGCTTTCCCGGGCAGGAGAGAAGTGAAAATATCTTGAAAGAAACACAACAAGTTCTAGAGAAAAGACCTGCAACTGACATGTGGGGTCCTCCCATGGAGGGTCCAGGTGCCAACCCCATGACTCTAGAGAAAAGCCCACCGGTTGACACACAGAGCTTCCAGTCTGTTTTCTGATGGGTCACCCTTCAATATGAACAGATCCAGAGAACCACCAGCCTGTGATGTGAAAGACAGAGCCTGAGACTGACCAAGAGAAAGGGTACTCAGAGGAGACAAAGCCAGTACAGGGAACAGGAAGGAACTTCCCCAAAGTCACTCTCCTGGGCATCCACAGGGAGAGAAGAGCTCCATCCATGCAATGAGAACAGGGCATGATAAAACAGGAATAAAAGAACAGCAACAGAATATTCCAGAAACCAAGCATTAAACATCCATCAGGTATGCGAGAAGATAAAGCTGAAGACCTCTCCCTAAGATCAGATCCCCAAAATAAAGAGGCCATACACAGAAAAGATATAAAATATTAAAGGACTATAGCTCAGAAGATCCAACACTCGGATAATGGGTGGTTCAGAAAGGATGTGAACCATTAGAAGATTTATGGGGTGCCTAGGTGGCTCAGTCAGTTAAGCATCTGCATTCAGCTCAGATCATGATCCCAGGGTCCTGGGATTGAGCCCCATGTTGGGCTCCCTGCTCAGTGGGGAGTCTGCTTCTGCCTCTGTGCTCACTTGCTCTCTTTCTCTCTCAAATAAAATCTTGAAAAAAAAAATTACAAAGTTTTCCATGAAACCAAGCATGACATTCATAGCATCGAGGATGCACCACCATCAGGACATCAGGACGGCTAGGAACACTAAGAAGTAAGGGATCCTGAACGCTTCCGGAGAGATGGAGAGAAACCCAAGTCCCATCTTAGAGGCGTGGAAATCTGGATGGTGCCAGAAGTCTCCACAACTAGGCTGGGGGGCAGTAGGAGGGAGTTACTCTCCACCAGCAATCCTATACCCAGCTACACTGGGGGACGGGTGGCATCAAGACATTTTTAAGGTATGCAAAATCTCAAGAAATTTACAAGATTTACTTCCCACGTCACTTTCCTCAGGAAGTTACTAGACAACGTGCCACACCAAAAAATAAAAACAAAAAATAAAAAAAAAAAACCCAAAAAACAAAGATTATCAAACCAAGGGGGAACACTTTGGCAAGAAAGGGCGTGCTATACAGTACACTACTTGACTCAGGAGTGAACTGTCGTTATGTGCCTACACTGAAGAGACATGTATGAAATAACGTGATGTAAGCACATCAGGGCCACAAAGTGGGGGACAGAGAAGGGTGAGACCCACCCCATCTACCATAACAGAAGTTGCAGGTGCTTCTAATTTAAAACAGGAAAATAAGCATAAGCATGTTATGCAGCAATGCAAAGGTAAATAATAAGCAATAGCTAAAAGCTTTGAAAGTGTTGCTTCTAGGGAACCAGACTTAGGGGATGCTAGTTTTCATGAAAAGCCATATGGTACTTGTTTCTTCATAAACTATGAATATGTATTACTTGGATAAGAATTAAAAGTCAGTTCTTAAAAAAAAACACTCAAAGCCATGGGGTGGTCTGTCCTGCAGGCTTCTCTAGACACCTTTGATACCCAACTTCCTCTCTCATGGAAGCCTAGACCCAAATCAGAATTTTTTTGCCTTCAAAGAAGAAATCTGTTTACAGCCAACCGGAACCAAACGATTTTTAGGCAACGGGCCACTGGGTGGTTCTACACAGTATTACATGTTGTAACGGGTGGGAGAAGCAGCCTGCAGAGATTTTTTTGGAACAAGGTCTAGCCCCATAAAATGGAATGATTCATGTTTGGGTCAGCTTCTCCCTGGCTCTTCCAGCATCTAGTTTAGACAAGGACCGCGTGGTGTCCGGGGTTATGAAATACCACACACGTCATCTGTACTATCCGTATCTCTGAGCTTTCAATGATGCCAAGGGAGCTCAGTAATTAGCCCGTTCTCCACGGGACGCTTGACCTTTAAGATGGAACCGCTCCAAGCTCTTGACAGCTTTCGGCACAGAAGGCTCAGATTTGTTCTAAGAAACAAGGAGGCGTGAAGGCAGGCTATAACCAGAATGGGATTTTGGCTGTCATTGATCAAAATATGCTATGTAAATTCTTTTGGCCATGCTGGAATTCTGTAAACTTGAAACCCGCTGCCTGAAATTTTAAGCAAGCTTCCCGCCTTGCTTGGAGAGAGCTCTGATTTCGGGAGGAGGAACAATTACCAGCAAGGCAGCCAACCGGCTGTCCCAGCGGTCAAGGGCACTCCAGAGGTCACAGGGGCCAGGCATAAAAATGAATGCAGCTTCTTTGCTGGGAAAATACGAGTGCAAAGCAAAGGTTGTAGCTGGTCCCAGTTTTTGGTTTTGTTTAAATGAGGACATCTTTATGTAATCATTTAATTTTTTTTTTTTTTTTAAGGACACTCATGGATGGACTCAAGACAGGTTTCATTAAAGAGGGGCCGGCTCTGGACCAGACATCAGGCGGCACAGATGCCCTTGCAAGTCTGTTCCTGGTCGGCTGTGTGACCCTGGTCAACCCGCTCTGCCTCTCTGGGCTCAGCAGACAAGAGGCTGTTTGAGGTCCCCTCCTGACCTACCAGTTTGTACCTCCTTGACCTACTGGTATGTGATTTTTAGGAGTACAGCTCAGAGAGGAAAGGCCATGGAGGAGGAAGCAATACAAGGGCCCCAGGGCCTGCAACTTGGTTGGAAACGGGGGTGAGAGGGTGGTGCAGGGCAGAAGGAAGATGGGAGGGTGGGTGGAGTTCTCCCCACAAACCGCCTGCTCTAGTCTACTTTTCCAGGTACCTTCCAGAATGTCTTTTCAAGAATCCCATTATGACCAGCCACGAAGGCTGTCCATGCTGACGCCCCAGCTCCAACGTCAGCCGCAACTTGTCCTGAGCCCAGCCATTCCTGCACTCCTCCTCCAAGATTCTCCCCTGGCTAAGACGTCATTTGAAAGGAGGGTTCCATGGGTGGAAAACATTTGAAAATCACAGCTTTAACCTCAATCCAATCAACACCAAATTGAACGTCCACCCTCTCCTCCCCTGCTCCCTCCAAAAATATTAGGGTGACAAGAGTGCACCCTAGCTCCCTACACAACCCCCACTTTCCTCCTTGGGTTTGCTGTTCTGGAAGACAGCAGCTTTGTACTGCTCGGATATAACCAACAGCCAGGCCACAACAGGTGCACGGACACCCAGCACCCTCACTCAAACCCTGCTCTGGGAGGAATATGGGGTAGTTTTCTTCCCCATGGAGGTCCCCCGTGGGGCATCCCCCTAGCTTGTTCCCACCAGGAGGATGTCCTCTGTAGAGGCAGGTCACTCGAGTCCATCCGGACCTTAAACACCTGCATGGGGGATGAGCTACGACCCAGCTTATGGCTAAATAGGAGCAAGGACGCTTCCTACCTGACGAAGCAGGCACGCAGGATCAAACGCCACCTGACGCTCTAGTCTGACACACACCTGCATGTCGAGGACGCAGCCAGGGAGAAAAGCACGCTCAGCACTTAACAGGACAGAAAGGAAACCGGGGAGAAGCAGGGAGAGGGGGGCCGGTTCCCTGTGGCCCTCTACGGTCTGCACAGGTGCCCTCCTCCAGCCCCTAATAACAGTGAAGGAGGAAGAGCTCCCGCCCCCTGCTCAGGGGCCTGTGGATTTTTATTATGCAGACACGTGCATCAGAGTCTGTTGACGTCCAGCTGTGGGAACAGCAGCAGGCAGTAAACCAGGAGCCAGAGGAAGAGAATAAAATACATCATATCCGGCTGCTGGACAAACTGTGTCAGAGAGTCGCTCTGGGGGCTCTGGCTCTCTAGCAATGTGGCTTCGCCAGAGTTGTTGGCCTTCCTGCAGGAGGGAAGACACAGGCAAGGCAGTTACTCTCGGGTCCTGGATCGGAGGACTCCCCCGCCCTGCCTCCCCGGTCTGTAACCTCACTGCCCAATGGGAGAGCCCAGGGCTTCCCAGCCAGCCGGTCAAGAGGCCCCGCGGGGCAGGTGCCGACCCAAGAGGAGGGCCGGGGTCCCGGGACAGCGCTGCGTTTTTGCGCAGGCTCAGTTCATCCGCACAACCCTAGGAGGGCTGGGCCGTCAGCCCCATTCTGCAGATGGGCATACCGATACTCACGGGGGGCCGTGGCTGGCTTGCTCAAGGCCACACAATGACTAAACTCCCCCACCCCCCTCATCCAGGACACCTTCCTTTATGTCACGGTGTCCTTAACGCAGAGCTGGACACTGACGGCACTCTGCCATCTGTCACTAACAGAGGGGACGTCATAAGTCATCTAAAGGAATAGAGTGCCCTGATTACAGATCATTTAAAAACAGCCATCGGAGACACAGGCACGCCCCGCCCCCCACCACCCGGCTTTTGATTTTGGCTTTGGAACAGAACCTTGAAGATAATGGCTAGACTTGACTTTGGTCCGACTAGTCTTTCTTCTTTTGTGTTACAGAGGGTGTCCAAGTGACGTTTCACTTTGGCTTGGTGGATAAAACCTACGAGGGTGAGGTGACCACAACCACGGCTCCCAGTTCCGGCCAAGGAAAGGGCTGGGGGCATCATCTGACTGGAAGGGGGTTGGGGGCTTCTGTTTAGACCTGCATTTATGGAAAACTCAAGTGTGAGCTTCTTAGAGTCATCTGGGGCGGGCAGTGGAGATTATGAGGAGGGAAAACCACCTCATCCCTGATCCGTGTCCTGATGCAGAGTCGAGGCCAACAGGGGGTTAAACGATGGCCTTTTGGTCTAGGGACTCATTCACGTATGACAACGGACAGAATTTTTCTTTCTTAAAACTTAAAATTTAAACTCTATTTATTACAAAGGTAATAAATGCTCCAAAACATTTAGAAAGCATGATTGCATTTCTTCACCTTCTAGTTTAAATTGTCAAAGTCTCTATCTCCTGAAAGTGAAAAGCACTACTTTCCTAAGGAGTCTGTCATGCCCGGTGGACAACGTGAATTAATATTTCCGTTTTATGGCAGAGGAGGGAAACAGGTCTTGCCTCTGGCCAGACAGACAGGCTTCTAAGGGTCACACTCACGGGTGTTGGGCGATATTCAGAGAGGCTTTTCCACTCCAATAATCTAAGTCCTTCCAAGCCAATTGAAATCCATGGCAAATATTAAAAAAAAAAAAAAAAATCAAGACAATTAAGTGATTCGGTAACTTTAACAGGGATGGGGGAATCTCCGGATTGCCCGAGTTTGGGGGATTCCTCTGGGCTCCTGTGTTCTACATGGGCTGCGATTCAGCAAGATCTGACTAGGCCATCTAGTTCTCGAACAGCAAGAAATACTTTCATAGACATCCTGGCATGTTTGTACTCCCTCTTCATGTCTGCTCTGATGCCATAAAACTGTAAAATCAGCTCAGTGAGCTTCTGAGTATTGTACCTGCAGTGGCGACACAGAATGAACACGGGGTCAGGGGCGACCGGGTGGAGACCACACCCAGCATCACATCTCTCCTGCCCCGCTCTACCCCTCCCCTGCTGCATGGTATAAATGCAGCCATAGGCTCATGACCCTGATCCGGCTTCAGACGGAAGCATTATCTGAACCCTGTCCCGCCCCCCGGTGTCCATCAATTTCCACTCTCCCTCCTGCTTATATCCAGTTTCCATTCATTTGCTCTGCACCAGGTATCTCCTTGCAGGAGCTCAGGCGATGACTACGGCCATCAACCAACGAGAGGTGGAGAAGAGCCACCCCACAAAGTAGACTGTATCATGGAAAAAGAAAAAAATATATATATCTACAGACCCCACAAAACTTGCGAGGAAAGCCACCAACCTGGTTAATGTTCGGTTTCTCCTGTCATCCAGATCTGCTGCATTCCTCAACTGAACATAGCTAACATGATCCTACAGTGAAATTTATAAACAAAACCCCCGCAACCCAATTAGTAAAGATGAAATCTCTGAAACAGAAAATAAAGTGATTTTAAACATACAAAGCCAAGCATGCAGCGCTGTTCTCAACATTGCAAACATTCAGTTCCCAAATCAAGTTGCTAACTGACGTTCTACAGCATTCTACCCTCTCCCCTAACCCCCGCCTAGTGAATCAGAGAGGCACCACCACCCGCCACCCGAGTCGGGGTGTGGACCACGGTGCTCTGGGTCCCAACACAGCCTGTGCTAAGAGTCGCTGCCTTAAAGTGTCGCACGGATATCTCCGAGGGTGGGCTACCCTGGGCATACCGGGGTAGGGTTGGGGGTCTTGGGTGCACAAAGAGGCCTTCGGGCTTTACCATCATTTTTTATCACTTTATTTAGTCACACCCCCTACTGCCCACACTGGACATCCCACTGGACTACGCTTAACCACAAGGTTTGAACTTGCTTCTCTTCTATCCAAAAGTCTATCTGTTGCACATCAGTGATTTCAAAGCTCTGGGCTGAGGAGGAGGAGGAAGGATGGAAATGAACTGATTAGCAGGGGTCATGCAGAAGAAGAAATTCACATACTAACCGATTCCAAAGACCTGTTAGTATGTCGTCGAATGTAAATGCTGGAGTCACTGTGACTAGTCCTGAAAAACAAACACACGTTTTGAATTGGTTGCCACCAAGGGCTCTTCACGGCTCAGCTGTCCGGTCACCCCCATCCCGAGTCCTCCACCTGCGGATCTAAGGCAAGCTAGGATTTCGGACCCAGCAATGGAAATCTTATCCAGTACGCCCCGTTGGGTTGGGGTGTGCTTACAAATAATGGGATGGGTATTAGAGACACACTGTGGCCTCATCTACAAGGAAAAAAAAAAAAAGCAAAAATAACAGGTAGAAAGAATTTTAAATAGAAAGCAGACCACATATTTTTCAAAGTCCTAGGGTTTCAGGGAAGGAAGGGAGGTCCTTCTCCAAACAGCCCAAAATCTGGGAACTGCTGGAGGTCCTCTGCTAATATCAGATCCAGGCTGAGACTGGCCATCCGGACTCCCTTTCTAGTGCTCCTTTCTGGGCAGAGTGCTGCTGTCTGACTGTCCAGCTCTGGGGTGTGCCACCTCTTTTCCTTTCATGCCCGAGGAGGCTCATTTTCTGACCGTATCTTTGAGGCTGATGTATGTCTGATCATCTACTAGAGCTGGTTCACACGGGGCTGAGGCAAAAGATACCCAGCCAAGCAGCCTGGGCTCCTGATTAACTGGCCATCTTAGCCACATATTGTAGGTCTCTGATCAGTTTTCCTCATCTGTAAAATGGGTCATCATTCCTTCCCCAACTACTTCATGGAGCTGCAGTGCTGGTGGTAAGAACAATATACTCCAGGTCCCAAGGGCCCCGTCTTGCCGCTCAACAGGAGAACTAGGGGTTGGGTGTCAGAGAGAGCCACCGCAGTTTCCTTAAGGCAAACCTCCCACATGGCATCTGGGGCTCCAAGAAAAAGGCATCTGACCCAAGAGTTTACTCCCTGGGAATTCATACCTGGCAGCCTTGGTAATCCTGCCCGCTGCCATCCCAAAGCTTCACCAACCTCTTCCCCTGCCTTGGACATGTTTCCAGCTAACAGGCATTGAGTACCTACTATGTGCCAGGCGCTGGGTGCAGCCCCAGGAAACTTCAGTCCTTGCCCTCAATGCAAAGCATATGCTAGTTTTCCCCAGCAGGTATCACAGCACAGGAACGAAACAAAACGTATCACGAAGGAAAAAGAGCCTCAGGTGTCAGGGACCCAGCACTGTCCCACTTCACGGGACTGCCCGGAGACGCAGGAAGCCCCACCTGCTCATAGTATTTTCCAGTAAAAAAGCACATCTGCTTCAGGAAGGGCCCCTGTCCTTCTCCTGCCCTCTCTTTTTCCGCCTGCTTACTTGTAGGTGGTTTTTGTGTTCTAGGACCGTCAGGCTTCCCTCCTGAACCTCATTCTTTCACCAGACATTATCAAGAGCCTACTGTGTGCCAGGCACTGGGCTTGGCGCTGAGCCCACCCACCACAGCCTGAGAGAGCAATCTGACTCATTCATCATCCACCCGAAGAAGAGTTCTTATTAAAGGCCGGCTGCGAGCCAGGCGTGGCGCTAAGTTCCAGGACTGCTGCTCCCCATCCCTGCCTCCGGGGAGCTGCTTCCCCGTCTCAGGGGGCAGCAGATGATAAACAGAGCCTTACACAAATGACCGGAGAAAGGACTGTTCTGAGAAATGCTGTGAAGAGAGAGAGTAGGATTGTGAGAACAGACGAAGGGGGATTAAAAAGAGCCCAGAGCAATCCAAGAAGGCTACCTGGAGGAAGTGGGAGTGGAGCTGAAACCCAGGGAAGCAAGTCAGGGAACGCGCAGGGGACAGAGGGGGTCCTCAAAGGCAAAGGAGCTTGAGGGACATTCAACGATCTCAAAGAAGGCCAAAGGGCTTGGCAGGCTGGGGAGGAAGGCAGAGGTGACCCAGAGCGGACACGGATGAGCCTGGACAGACAGGTCCTCCAGAGGTCCCACAGGCTCTGGGACAACGGGCCTTTCTGCCTAGACCAATGGGAAGCGCCAGGGGGGACCCAGTCAAGGTACAGTCAGGAAAACAGGCTGTGTCTGGCAGGGAAGGTGCCCGGGGCTCAGTCCCCTGCAAGATAGCTTTAGGCCAGGCACTGACTTTTTTGAGCTCATTTTCTTGGTTGTCAAAGGGGGTGGTGGCCCCCTCTGCATTGCAGGGGGCAGGGGAGATGACGTGGTGCACGGGAGGGGCTCCAGGGTTCCTCACTCATTGCCTCCAAGGAGCGCACCTCTGCCCATCTGCTGAATGGCTGATAAGAACTGACCGCAGCTAGAATGCGAGGCAGTACTGACAGCTTTGCCCGGGGTGGGATAGGAAGCCGCGGGAGGGGTGATGCCACCCGCTCCATGCAGATCCGTCGGATCTTTGCCGGGAAAAGCCAACTGGGCCTCCTTCCCGTACACACACCGAGATGACATTCCCCTTCCAACACCGACCTGCTTTGTCTCCTCTTCCCTGGGACGGGTTTTGCGGGCATGGCTGGATTCAGCTGGTGTCCAAGATGCTCGATCCCCACAAGGCTCCCCCTGCTCCTTCTAACCCCCTCGCGTCCAGCTAACATGTCCTGTGTGCCTGCTATTGGCTCGGGCTATCTCCTCCACTCGGGATGCCTTCTCTCCTTGCCCCCAAATCCAGACCCCACTGTCCCTCCGTGCTGAGCTCAAAGAACATTGCACACTTTCCCTCCCGCTTGCCCAAGCCCCCGGGGGGCTGGGGCCGTGCCCGCGTCACCGCTACGGCTGACATCTTCCCAGAGTAACTGGTCAAGGAGCACTACCAGCTGCCCTGCTTAGTTCTCCCGACTAGATGACCAGTGGCCCCTCCCTGAGCTGGGGTGACAAGATGGCAGCCCAGGCACCTGCCTGCTAAGCCACGGATGTCTGCTGGATGGCCAATACCATGTCCCTATAGGGAGAGGGATTCTGGAGTCACGTGCAAAGTGGGTGGCAGTGTTTTGCCCCTCACCTGGGCTCCCGTCTAGCCGCCTTTTATCCTCTGTAGAGCAGGTGCAGGAGTAGAGCAGAAGGGAGATGGAAAGCAGGACCCCTGCCAGCCCTTCCTCCGGGTCCCCCTGCCCTGGCTTCTCCCCACTCTCTCCCTAAATGCTGATCTCAATGATTGCCCTTTTGCAGCCAGTGCAGCTCACCGACCACAGGCCAGAAAGGCTCACGGGGAGAATGTGGGTCATGGAGTCTGACAGGTCTGCATCTGAGACCCCAGCTCTGCCGTCCCCCAGGCTGGGCGGCACCCCCAGAGCCTCTGTGCCCACCGTGGTGACACACAGTCCCTCCTACCCACCTCGGGCGCTGCTGTGAGAATCAAAGAGGGATTGGATGGGAAACACTTGAACGCATCAGGGCAGGTCAAACAGTGGCTATCAGGGGGCTGGGGTGGCCCCAGAGCCTCCGAGTTGGTGACGTTCCACGCCCCACACCTACTCGGCTTCTGCCATCTTGCTGTCCACTGCCAGCTGTCCCCCCAAGGTCCTCGGAGTGGGGAGAAGACAGGCCTCAGGTCCTTCCAGCTCTCTGGGCAGGGCGGGGCAGCCCGGGTGGAGAGGATGAGGGTGAGTCTCTTTCTGATTCTAGCAGATGACCCATTGGCCAGATGAATTTTGTATGAACCTGTGTTTCCCTTGCTGTCCGGTCCCACCCCTCTGCGTCCCCGCACTCTGAGTCTTCGAATCAGAAACCAAGAATGGAATGAGTTCAGGGAGCAACTCTGGAGCTCGGTCCCTAGGGAAGAAGAGAGTAACAAGATACCTGGAGAGGACTTTGTGGTCGCCAGTGTCTTCTTCGAGGTCCTCTGAGGATCGGACGCTACCGGGTGCTATAAATATGGAACTTTCTACGTGGTCCACGTGCTTCCTTTTCTCCTTTTTTTTACTGCTGATCGATTCTCCCATTACCTTTTCTTCTAAAGAGTTTGCTGAGTTTCCCGGGTTTCCGAATTCCTGGGACTTAAGGACAAGACAACCAAACACGAGTCAGCGTTTCATGCTGGGAGGCCCAGTGCGTGATGCCCCGCCCCCGGCCCCCACCAGCAGCGCTCCACTCCACCGAAGTCCAGAAAGCTAGGGCATCCCCTCCAGTTCTGCCCCTCCTGGGCAGTCCTTCCAGCATGGCCTGTCGTGGAAGACAAGCCCACCCGCACTCGGGCTCCCTGGGCAGAGGGCAAAGGCCAGAGACTGTAAAAGCAGCATGTGGGTTTCAGAGTCACTCCGACTGTTTTCACTTCCCGGCTGAGTTAGTTAGCTTACCCAGTTGAATTTCTCTTGCCCTCAGTCTCCTTGTCCTGTCTGATGGGTATAATCATGATCAGTCTTTTCTCACTACACCACAGTGTTTCCCTCGAGGGCTGCCCCGTACAGTGGGCCATGTGGGGCCCTTCACACAACCACCATCCGGGAAGCCAGGTGGGCCACCAGGTGCAAAGGGGGCCCCTGAGCTGGGAGAGGTGCCCACACACACAAACCCATAGCTCGTGGGAGGACAGCTTCACTGTGCCTCTGGTGGCTCACAGGGCAACATATCTAGCATCTCCTTGGCGAGCAAGATTCTTTGATCGCTGTCCACAGTGGGCAAATCTGGAGCCCATCAGCAACGTTCCAGAGGGAAGTTAAGAAGCCAAGAAGCAGCGGCGCCTGGGTGGCTCAGTCGGTTAAGCGTCTGCTTTTGGCTCAGGTCATGGTATCAGGGTCCTGGGATCGAGCCCTGCCTCGGGCTCCCTGCTAAGTGGGGAGCCTGCTTTTCCCTCTCCCTCTGCCTGCCGCTCCCCCTGCTTGTGTATGCTCTCTCTCTCTGTTCAATTAATAAGTAAAATCTTAAAAAAAAAAAAAAATGGAAGCCAAGAAGCCTGGGGATTGCTGGAGCCCCCTCTCCCTGGGTGTTACACGTAAACCACGAATCTTGGAACACTGCATCAAAAACTAATGACATATTGTACCATGACGGACATAACACAATTAAAAAAAAAAAAAAGAGTCCCTTCAGGGGCTGGAAGAACCCGCTCAACAGGTATGGGAAGCTGGGGATTAGCGGGGCTAGTCCCCCCCTCCAGGAGAACAAAGGTCCTTGCAGGAACTAAAAAAATGCTCCTAGCAATTTGGAAATGCCAGTTCCTTCTCTGGGATCCAGGGGTCAACGCTACCGTTTTTGAAAGGTGAAATGAGAAGAGGGCATTTTTTTTTTTTTTTTTTTTTAAAGACTGGAAGAAACTTTCCATGTTCTAGTCTTCTTGGAAGACTTTACTTTTTTTTTTTTTTAAAGAGGCCCAGGTATCCAAGAAATGCTCCTGTGTCATCTTCTCTGACAGGAGGCGAGACTCCCAGGCCTCACATGTCCTCCTGGGCCCCAAGCCAGCCCCCCCTGGGACTACCGGGGCCCCATGTGGGAGCCAAGGACCAGGTGTGCTTGGGGGCAGCAGTGGGTGCCCGTTCACGGGAGGGGCGAGCGCCACGGGAGGCAGGTCAGAGCCCAGAGACGGAAACAGTGGCCCATTGGACCCAGGAATAGAAGCTCTCCCCAAGGGCTCATGCTGAGCTTAGTGTAGGGTAGTCAAATCTACATCTCCCAATTCCATTCCCAGCCCAGGACTCGTCCAGCTACACCCCAGATCACCTGTCCACGCGCTGGGCACATGCACCCATACCACCTGCTCCTGGCAAAGAACTTCTGTCTTTGTAAAGCAGAAGGCAGTAAAGGACAGGTCTGCAAGGCCACAGGGACATTCAGTCTACCCTGGGGGAGGAAGGGAGCTGCTAAGAAGCCATTTTAAATAGTACAGACGGGCAGAGATGAAAATTAGTCTTTCTTCCGGTCAACCACTCAGTCCCCTTTCTTCTGTCCTAAAAGATCTTCTGTCCCTTAACAGTCCCGAGAATTGCTGTAGTTGTTGTCATGGTCCCCCAGCCTGGGGACCCCAAGATCTGGTCTTCCAGCAAGTCAGCAGACGGTAGGTGGCGGGGGGGTGTGGACCTGGGCCCGGGGTTCCTCACCCTGGAGGCAGAAGGGGCAGGTGGCAGGTGGGTCCGGGCACGTGCGGAATTCCCCCACTCCCTTCTCTCTCCAAACACAGACACAGCATCGGTCCTGCTGTGCTTGCTTCTAGGTCGTCAGTGTCAGAGAATTCTGCTCCACCCAGTGCGTTCTCTGGGATTGACGAACCCAGAAGACCAAGCCACCCCTTCTGGCCCATCTAAATCCTACGGGTCTTTTGTGGGGCTACTGGGAGTGTCCCTTTCTTTGGAAGCCCTCGTGCAAGGATTTCTCATTCCCCTGAGTGCCTTTCAGCCCCCCCTCAGCCTTGACTCTCCCCTGCTGCAAGCCAGAGTGTCATCTTTATCTTGGCCTTTGACTTGACCCTACGTGTCACCTTACACCTCCCCAAGGCATCATGCAATCCAGCCACCTTTGTTTCCTGCACCTCAAGCCCTTCCAGGCTGCTCTCCAGAGTCTGAAGATTCAAATGCTCACTCTTCTGCTGGGACAGAAAATCACAACCTACCACACCAGGCTAGCAGAAAAGTCGAGAGCTGTCATGCGTTGCTGGCTATAGAGGAGAAAGCAACCGTTCTGACTGGGGAGAAGCTAGGAAGGCTCCTAGGAGGAGGTGTCACTGACACTGGGCTTTGAAGGGGGCATCAGTGTTTGCCAAGCGAAGCTGAGGGAGGCAGAGCAGAGTGTGGAGTGCCTGGGAGCCTGGGGGAAGGCTGGCTTGGCTGGAGGGGAGGGAAGGGAGAGGACCAAGAGGAACAGCAGCTCAGGGCACCCTGTACCCTTTCATCACCCATGCCGGTAGCCCTTCAAGCTGCTGGGCCAGGCAAATGGGGATACCAAGTGGTGGCTGAGTGTGTGCCCCGCTGCTAGAACTCTGAAGTGCACGTCCCCTGCTTGTAAGCAGACAATGTACCAACAGGCAATTTTCAAAACTCAAGGCCAGAGTCAAGTGTGAGCACACTGGGTTTCCTCAGGGTGCTGCAGGAGGCGGGGCTCAGGTTCACTGAGCGTGCACTAGATGTAGCTATGAGTAGCACTGACAGTAATCACAGCTACCGCTACCCTTGGCCCTCAAACATGACCTCATTCCATCCCCTCGGCCCCCTTGGGTAGAGGGCCAGGGAGGCACCCGACGTACAAGTCTCAGAAGTGCCGAAGGGTGCCAGCCCCGTCCTTGCCCGAGCCTGAGCGAGTGCATCCTTAAATTCTGGCCTGGGCTGCCCGCGAGGGAATCTTCTCCTTCTCTATTTTGTGGAGGGAGAAGAGCAGAGTCCTCATGTAGGGCCCAGGGTTCCCGAACCCACGATCAAGTACCTGCTGGTTCTCCACATGGGAACTGTCTTCAGCCTCCCCTTGCTGGTGGTCATCTGGTGGGGACAGGTCAGCAGGTTCTGAGGCCAGTCTGGCATTTTCCACACCCCCAACGGGACATGGCACCGTGGGGACACTGGCCTCGGGGACATCCTCGCCCAGCCCCGAGAAGCTGCAGCTGCTCTGAGACACCTCGACCTCCTCGGCCTCCTCGGCCTCCTCGGCCTCGTCCCTGGCCCCCACGTCACACAGATAGCCGTCCGGCTCCTCGAGATCCAGGTCTTCGTTTTTCAAGTCCTCCGCACCCTCTGCATAAGCCTCCAGAACCGCAGCCAGGGGCACCTCATAGTGCGGGTAGTAGAATAGCTCGTGGGGGATGACGGAGACCTTGGACAGCGGCGGGGAGGGCTTGAAGCCCAGGCCCTCCTCGCTGCGACTGTGCAGGGTCTCCAGGCTGACGCTGCTGCTCCGCGGCTCAGAGGGCGCCTCCCCTTCCGGCCCCCGCAGCCCCGCAACCTCCCCTTCGTCCTCGTCCAGATGGCGGCGCGCGGACTTCTGCTTGGGCTTCTCGTACACCTCCGGCTTCGTATCAGCAGGCGCCCCTCCTGGGGCCAGAGAATGGCCTTGGTCTTCTTGCCTGAGGTCCTTGTGAGGTTCAAGCTTACTGGGCCTCTCCGGGGACTCATCCGAACCTTTCCTCTGGTGAGCAGACTTACTTCTCCTCTTCCCCAGTTCCTCAGCCTGATTCTCCAAAACCTCCTCCTCCGCTGGTTTTTTCTCATGAGGCCAAGAAACCTCCTTGAAAGCCTGGCTGGTTGAGGCAAAATCTATGAGGTCCTTGTTAAATGTAGAGGCTTTTAAAGGAACGTCTTCGTAATAGTCTTTGTTACCCATAGCTTCTACGGTCAGCAGCTTGACCTTGATCTCCAAGGAATCAGCCATAACAGTGTTGTCCCCGAAGGGTGAAAGTGGACAACTGTCCTCCCCGGGGCTGGGTGCACCCTCTGGCTCCCCGTTCCAGGAGGGAGAACTCTGGGCAGTCTGCGAATGATTGATCTTACTGTCCACCAAAGAGATGTTACCTGGGGACTCATCAGAGGCTGCTTCTGAACCTTTTGGACCCTCCTGTTTTGGCTTTTCCTCAGCAGTCTCAACTGCCAGGATGTACCCATCCTGCTTTGGCAATGAGTCCTTTGTCCCTCTTGCGCTCCCTTCAAAGCGAAGGTCTTGACTGTAGAAAGGGTCCTTACTGCAGGAAGCATCCTTGTAGGTGTCAGCCTCGAAGTGCACAGTTTTCTTGATGGGCAAAGAGTTGGACCTCCGGCTGTCCTTTCTGGATGATAAAATGGAAGATTCTGGAGGTGGGTCATTGGTGCTGCTGGCCTTACCTGGGACCCCTTGGAGGGCCTGGTCGATGATCTGGGGCATGAACTTGGGGGAACTGTCTGACAGTGCATGGCTGGACACACCACTAAGGAAGCATTCTTTCTCGCTCTCGGGCTTGTCACAGACAAAGACTTTGGAGGGTGGTGGTTGGCTGGCCTCATGGTTAACAGTGTAGGCTCGCTCCCCGTTTTCAGTCAGAAGGAGCACTGTGCTCTCCTGTTCAGAGGGAGTTTCTTTGATGCGGACAAAGGTGGATTCAATAGGGGCTTCTTTATCTGAATCCATGAAATCTTCCTGCGAAGAAACAGGGCAACATAAAATCAGGAGCGCTGAAGTACAATGTATATTCCATTTTCATAAAACAAAGACCAACATGGAAAAAACCACTTCAGAACTAATGCAAAGTGTTCTCATGGAGAGATGCCAATAGTTGCTCTTGCTGAAATGTGAAAACACCAGATAGTTCAAAATAATGTATTTTTAAAATTTTTTTAAAAGATTTTATTTATTTGGAGGCGCCTGGGTGGCTCAGTAGATTAAGCCGCTGCCTTCGACTCAGGTCATGATCTCAGTGTCCTGGGATCGAGCCCCGCATCGGGCTCTTTGCTCAGCGGGGAGCCTGCTTCTCTCTCTCTCTCTCTGCCTGCCTCTCTGCCTACTTGTGATCTCTCTCTCTGTCAAATAAATAAATAAAATCTTTAAAAAAAAAGATTTTATTTATTTGACAGAGATCACAAGTAGGCAGAGAGGCAGGCAGGGAGAGAGGAGGAAGCAGCTCAGCTCCCTGTGAGCAGAAAGCCCGATGCAGAGCTCGATCCCAGGACCCTGGGATCATGACCTGACCTGAAGACAGAGGCTTTAACCCACTGAGCCATCCAGGTGCCCCAAAATAAAGTATTTTTTTAAAAGCTATGGGTGCAAAGAAATCTCAAAAAACTGAACTCTAGAAAAGGACCAGCCCTTCCTGAGTGAGTCTCAGCTACTTTACATGGGCAGGCCGTTACCTAGTCTGAGCATGGCTAAGAGAGTGAACCTACCCAGGCTAAGGAAAGATTAGCTGAATCTTTCTTGATTGCATGGGCCAGTGTGAGAGATTAAATGTGGAAGGGCCCCAAATGCAAAACCAATTGTCTTCATAGACTATTCCTTCCACACGGGGACTTTTGCTAAGAAGCAGCTGAGAGCAGGGGTGGACAGCAGAGAGCCATCTTGGTGGTACTGGCTCCCGGCATACTGGTGGAGAGAATTGACTGACCTCATTCTAAAATCATTGGAAACTAGGTGGCTGACATTAAGTGAAACTGCAATGTAGCCGTTACTGACTCCTGAGAAGGTCAAAACAATCAGCTACTCAACTAGGTCCTTGTTTGGGAAAAGGCTACATGTCTCTGGGGTAAAAATGTTGGCTATCTCAGTCTCTACTGTTCTTTCTTATACCAGGTCTAGCATAAAATATAACATTTTAAGACACAGAGAAGCAGGAAAATGAGATCCATAGTCAAGAGAAACAACAATCATTAGAAGTAGACTCCAGTATGACCCAGGGTTAGAACTAGCAAATTAAAAGACTCCAAAAGTAAGGAGGACGACAAGAAATACAGAGGTAGTTCTCTGGGCTGAAGGGAAAGGACCATAGATGGAAGCCTGGATCTGAAGGAGTGACTACAAAGCATCCAATGGTAAATATATGGTCAACATAAAAGACTATTTAAAAACTTTTCTTGGGGCGGCTGGGTGGCTCAGTGGGTTAAAGCCTCTGCCTTCGGCTCAGGTCATGATCCCAGGGTCCTGGGATGGAGCTCCCAATCAGGCTCTCTGCTCAGCAGGGAGCCTGGTTCCTCCTCTCTCTCTGCCTGCTTCTCTGCCTACTTGGGATCTCCGTCTGTCAAATAAATAAATAAAACCTTTAAAAAAAAAACCAAAACTTTTCTTAAAAAGTCTCCTATTTAAAGCAGCAATAATAACAAAGCACTTGGGGTTAAAACTCATATAGAAGTAAAGTAAATGACAGTAGTAGCCCAAAGGAACAGAGAAGCGAATGGAATTGCATTGTTACATACTTAAAAATGCATACAATACGCATTTTACTCAAAGCAATATAACAATTCAAGGCAGACTAAAGTAGGTTCAAGATGAGTATTATAATCCCTAGAGAATCTACTGCAAAGATAAAACAAGGAGACGTGGTCAAAAAGCCAACAGAGGAGATAAAATGGAAACAAAAAAAATCAAATAATAATAATAAAGAAGTTTAGGAAGGAAGGACCAAGGAGCACAGAACAGACAGGACCAATGAAAAACAATAATGGTAGATTAAATCTATGTCAATAGTTGAGAAACACACTAATAAAATGACTCATTAACTCTTGTGAGAATGGATAAAAAAGAAGACCTAACTGTATACTGTTTTTACAAGGACCTGCTTTAACTATAAGCACACATACACTGGAAAGAAAAGATGGAAAAAAAAAAAAAAAAGGTAGATCATGTAAACACTAATCATAAGAAAGCCGGTATGGTTATATTCCTATCAGACAAAGTATACTTTGAGACAAAGACCAAAACAGAAAAAGCCAATGATCAAGGTATCGGAAACAAACAACAATCCTAAATGTGTGTGCGTGTACAGCACAGCTTCAACATCAGAAAGCGAAAACTAACCGAACTAAGAGAAACCTATCTACAACCATTAAAAGTTGGAGATTTTTAACATTTTCCCCTCACACTAGTTGATGGGAAAAAAAGTCAGTATGTGTACACAATACTAGAAGAACAGAGTAACCAACTCTATCTAATCAGTATTCAAAAAATGTTCATTTTTTCACTGCCTAAGGCACCTTCTTTCCAAGTGCATGCGATCCATTTACTCAAAGAAACCATATGTTGGGCCACAAAGCAGACACGGTGTCCGGCACATGGCTGAGCTCGGCTTACCCAAGGTTTAGGAAGATGAATTACATTCAGCTGAATGGTTAAGGGACCACTGAGTGAGTGTCTAGATCAGCTGGGACTTCCCACCTGTATTCCCTTGAGGATGTAAATGGTCAGTTCTGCAGTGATGTGCTTTGTTCTGTGAACCAGGACCACTCTCTGCACGTATCTTACCTCATTCAATCTCTTTCCTCCCAGCCCCAGTCTCCGACCCCAGCGCTGGCGAGGTCCAAGTGTCAGATTTGCTGAATCTTGGCTATGACCTCGACTCACACGGTTACCGTAAGATTTAGTTGATTTCAGACTCTGCCTACAGCTTAAGAGCTCAGGGTTCATGAAGGCTCTGGTGCCTAGCATCTCAGAATTTAGTCATGGGCAGAGAAAAACGGAATTATAAAAATATAAAAATTATAAAGGGTGGTCACAATCACCACCCTTTGCTGAGTATCAACTGTCTGGCAGGCAGAAGACTGGGTACTTTATATCATCAATTTATTCTTCACCCAACTCTGCCATATGGGTAATATTTTCATTTCACTGATAACATGTATCAGAGACGTTAAGTAAGCAGCTCAAGGTCACACAGCTTTAAGTAGCAGAACTGCCATTCCAGCCCAGGGAATTCCTTTTAGGCACCTTGGGGAGTGATCTGTGGTACAGGGACAGGGGAAAACACAGACACGCAGAAAGGGAATGGAATGAGAGCCGAGCCACAGCACAGGAAGACCGCATCTGGCTCTTTGGAGGTGCATAAAATGGGGCCTCAGTTTCAGCCACATGTTGTAAGGGATCTAAGAGCCTGAACTGAGGAGTCACAGAGACCTGGGGTCTCTCAGTAGCCATGACCCTGGGGTGGTGTTTGAGCTTCTCTGACCATCTGTATCCTCATCTGTAACACACAGAGCCACATCGGGCAGGAGGGGCAGCCAGCCCGGAGACACGCAGGGCACCGATCTGACCAGCCTCCAGCTCCAAGTGCGGCTCTGCTCCCTGTCAGCATCGGCTTCTCATGCTTACTCTGCTTCTGTCTAGTACTTAACCACCACCTGAACCTCTAGAATGTTTGCTCACTTGTTAACTGGTTTAGCTAGTAGAACAAAGCTATACCAGGTCAGGGACCTCATCCATCCAGCTTACTACTGAGTCCCCCTGAGCGTGTCTTGTAAATTACCAGTGAATTCAATGGAGATTTACTGTTACATTGTTGCCATCACTGTTACCATATCAAGTTTGTCTTTTTTTTGCACACTCTGATAAAATCTGATAAACTGCTAAAATGGTCCATCGGACGCCTAGAGGATCAGGTCACCAATCCATGTGACAAGAGAGCACCTTGGACAATCTCAGTGAAGTCTGCTATGGGAAGACATTTGCAAGAGGTATGGCTGCCAATTTGCCATCCTGCTTTTAAATGTAAACCTTATCTATGATTCTGAAATTAAAATGTGCCAAGACAACGCTCAAGGGACTTGAGATCCAATTTTGACTATCCCTGCTTGCTGTACAGAGCAATGCGGCCGGAACCCCAGCTTTGTGTGATGCCAGCAGATGCGAATGTACACTTTCTGTATTAAAGGTAAGGGAAACAAACGTACGGCCTCCAGCTCCGGGAAATGTTCCAGAAATTGTGCCACGTAAGTCACGATAGACTGCTCGTCTGGCGTGTCAACCATGATGTCTGTCAAGAGAGACACAGGCGTTAGAAGGACGGCAATCATGTGATGTTTAAACACGATCAAGGGATGCTTCATGGTGAAGAGCCCCCCAGAACTTTGAGTTTTTTTTTCTCTGTTTTGTATTTGAGGAAATTTAGACCCAGAGGGGATGAATCACTTGACTATAGTCTCACATCTGGCTGATGGACAACGGAGCTGGGATGCCGAAGAATCCAGAATTCCTCGTTCCCAAGGCTGTCTGGTATTTCCTGCTGAATTCCCACCTCCTCCTGCTCTCCCCACCCCGGGAGCAGCCTGCTCACTGCTGGCCCCATCAGGGAGTCCACTGAGTCAGGACCCTTCCTCTCTGCTGGACGGAGTCCCAAATCAGCCCCAGCCATGCGGAAAGCAACCTAACAGACAGCCAAGCACCTTAGAAAGGTGCTCACTTTCCAAGTCCGGCATTCCCCCCACAGGCAGCGTCTGGTTCCGGAGGACATCCTGTGGGATGCCCGCTGAGGTCCGCTCAGTAAGATGGTCACTGCAGGTTATGTATAAATGTGACTATTTCCCAAACAACCTCAGTGTCCCCCGGGGGTAGGAGACCTAAGGAGACTTTTGGTATGCCCATGAGCTAGGCCACTGTGTAGAAATGTATAACAGAGACATGACAGCAAGAGGCACAGCGCTGCTGTCATAATTACAATGCTAAGTAAAAAAAGCAAAAGACAGGCAGTGGGAGCGGAGAGCACGGTTATCACAAGGAGCACTGAGCAATGTACAGAACTGCTGAATCACTAGACTGTACACCTGAAACGAATACAACACTGTATGGTAACTGTGCTGCGTTAAAATAAAAAACTTAATTACAAAAAGTAAAATATAAAACCACAGCTGACCCTGGAACGACTCGGGTTTGAGCTGGGCGGGGCCACTCATACGCAGATTTTTTTTTTCCCCCAAAAAACACGGTACAGTCCTATAAATGTATTTTCTCTTCCTTATGTTTTCCTTAGTAACATTTTCTTTTCTCTAGCTTACTTTACCGTAAGAACACGGCGCATAATATATATAACGTACAGAATGCGTTAATTAACTGGTCGTGTTCTCGGCAAGGCTTCTAGTCAGTAGCAGGCTACTGGCAGTCACGTTTCTGGGGGGTCAGAAGTGACCCGTGGATTTCCAAGTATGGTGGGCCAGTCAGCACCCTACCCCCCCACGTTGTTCAAGGGTCACCTGTATACATGCACCAAATGATCTCAATTACATAAAAAAAAAAAATGTAATGAGATGTGCGGGAAAATACTAAGGAGCAGGGATATAGGAAATACATACACGTCTTCATTAGATTTTTCTGTACCAAATTTGTCTACATCTTATGTCACAAAAATTGTTAACAAGCAAAAAAAGAGAGAGAGAACGAGCGCTACCTTCTGGCTCCAGGAGCCTGGGGATGTGGAGGGCCTCGTGCGCGATGCTGAAAGCCTTCTCCAGGTTCTCCCGCATGGAGTCTTCCAGGGCCTGCTTCATGTCCACCAGGCTGGGGTCGATGGCCTTGATCACCGCCAGGAAGGCCATCCCGCTTCTCCAGCTGCCGGCAAAGTCCTGCACTGCCACGCCATACCTGCAGCAAAGTGGCCACGCTGTGGGTCAGGACAGGCACACCCCTCCCTAGGGAGGAGCCCACACGTGGCAGCCTCACAAGCCTCGGAGCCCCCCCGAGCTGCCGATTCTCTAGGCTCTGGGTCCCGGGAGAGCGGTGCCGAACCACCCAGATCTCCATTTCCAGGAAAACAGAATAATGTTAGAATAATCTAGAATAATAGAAGAGAAAGGTATAATTTGCACTGAGAGGACAAATATAGGAACTTGTGCTCCCAGATTCCCAGACACATAAAGGAGCGACTCTGCACACTGTGAAGGTCACTCTGCAGTGAGGGTCACAACAGCCAATCGGGGCGTGCGGTCAACACCCAAGGTCACAGCCTGGCTGCCCCCTGTGCATTGCCAGGGGCGCAGCCACGCTGCGGCGAGTCCCGGATCCTCTGACCCTCCAGTTCCTCAGTTGTAAAATGGGGATTGTCTCATGATGACCCCTCGGTGGCTGTTGGGGGGAAGCGTTAGGTTTTGCCCACGTGGCACACACAAGCCACCAAGTAAGTGGCAGCCAATGTCATTATTCCTATCAAAAACATCAACAATCTACAAGTGAGGGATAGAGAGAGAGAGTCCTGCCAGGCACTAATTTCCTTTAGGATCCATCCCAAGACACCACCCATCTCCCAACTGTGGTCACTGACCTCTCTGAAAAGAGAGTTTCATTTAGAAATCGCTTGAGATTGCTAAGAAGCTGGAAAAGTGGGTACAGAGAGCTCCCATACCGTTCGTCTGGCTTCCCTCGCGCATCTTCTGTCCCTTGAGTCAACCGCCAGAAGCGGGACCCTGACATTGGTGGGAAACTACTGAGCCATAGACCTCACCTGGATTTCTCCAGAGGCTCTCCCGTGGGGGTAGCATAGGGTACAGACGGCGGCCACTGCCATGATACAGACACAGATCCGGTCCACCATCCCGTGGACATGACTTCTCCTTGACTGTCGCCCCACCTCCTGGCACTGAGCTCTCTTTTGGCTGATTTATTTTAAACCACATCTGAGGGTTGTTAGTGTTCACCGACTCTATCATGCCCGATCCCTCGGCCCAAACCCGAAGATCCAACTCTCTCTTCTCTTTTTTCTTTTCTCTTTTATTTCCATTGAGCAGGGAGAAGGGGCCCGATGAGTGCTTGTTAAGTGCTATAAGACCGTGCAAGGCGCTTTCATGAGCTTGCGTCACTTAATCCTCACGGTCCCGGAAGGTGGGTAAGTTACCATCTTGCAGGCGTGGCTGTGATGTGCCAGGAGGGCACCAGGTCTCTGTGTGGCCCCACAGGGGCGTGGCTCCCATCACAGGTGACCTAACTTTCCAGCCGTCCCCACCCAGGGTTCACCGCCCAGGGGCCCCAAGAGCCGTCAGCTGGCTGCCAGTAAAAGTCTGACACAAAATTGCAGAGAGCCCCGACCTGCTGGCACGGGGTCACCCAGCAGCCCCAGGACCTTTGCTCTGGGTCACCTGTCTCGGTTTTGGCAAGGTTACACCTAACAGAGCATGATACAGCCTTTATTGTTCTTAGTGTTTAAGTTGGTACAGACTCTGAAAGAGCCCCTGAAGCTTAGCAGTGGATACGTACCCATCATGAAGATCCAAGAGCCTTTCTCACTTTGGCATTAAACGGGGCAAAGCCCCTTTGATTTGTATTCCTATCTTCCTGTCAGTTTTCTGCAAACCAAGCGCTCTGCAAATGCCGCTCTGCGTGCGCAGAAACTGCAGACGCACAGCGCTCCCTGCTCTCAGAGCCTCTAGGAGGCAACAGGTGCATAAGTTAACACATGTTGATGTCCCCTTCCTCTGCCCCAACCCCCAGGGTAGCCGCCCCCCCCACTGCCCTTGGCCTGATGACAGCAAGTGCTGGGCGGCGGACAGGGCCCGAGGGCTTACTTCCTCGTCTTCCTCTGCACCCATGCCAGCAGGGTCCTGATGGCCTTCCTCTGATCCTTCACTGCTACCGCTAGGCTCCTCTCTGTGGTGGGCGTGGGTGGGAAGGAAGAGTCGGAGTCTGTGCCCCCCGAGCCAGGCGACAGGCTGGAAGATGGAGAGTTTCTGCTGAGATTGCCCGTGAGCTCCTTAATCTGGAAGGAAAACGGCATTTCAGGCCCCGGAGACAGTCCCAGGGCAAACCCTTCTCTGCCCGCCCCCGGCCACGAGGAGCCTGGCTGGAGGGTCCAGCTCACACACAACCAGTTCTCCACACAGGGAAAAGCCGCTTCCTAAAGTACCCGTGACCGCCAGACTGTTCTGTGGGGCTGGTGGTGCGTGTAGACATTTCCCAGGGATGCTTGTTTCTTCCTGGAGTCTCTCTCTTTTGGAGCTTTGGCCATGCACGCCTGCGAGGTCTTCCTGACCTGCTTCTGCCTATACCTTTCCTCTCATGGCTTATCGGTGCCAGGACGCAGGAGGCTGTTTCAAGCCCCATGCCTATGTTCCTCCTGGTCCTGCTGCCTGGATGTTCTTTTCCTCCATCACCAGATTCCTGGCTCCTATCATGCGGCTCTCGCACGAAATACAGAACCCCAAGCCCTGCCCCAGAACTACAGAATCAGAATCCGCATTTCAACACCTCCCCCAGGCAATCTGTACAATCTGTTCGCACAGCGAAGTCCGAGAACCGGTCTAACGCACTCCTACTCATCCTTTAAAACCCAGCTCTGGCGTCACTTCCTCTAGGAAGTTTCCTCACTCCCTTCCCTACTCTGAGACAGTTGCTCGTGCTCTGCATTCTAACAAGACTCAGCTCATACTCTGATCAGAACTTGCACCACACAGTTCTGTACTATGGGACTGCCTTGTCTGTGGTCCCAGAGTGTCAGAAGGGCAGGACTTTGTGTGTGAAGAGCCTGGCACGTAGGAAGACCTCACTAGTCATTTACTGAATGAATGAATGAATGAATGAATGAATGATTGGGGGTAGATTTAAGGCCTTGACCTTGGACACATTTTCAGGAAGTTTCCAGCATCGATCGGAGAGTTTCATAAGAGACATTAGTAATTGGAGCCTGTATATAACACTGGTTTTTTTAACGGCTTTTTTAAGTTCAAGGCTCACACAGAACTGGGTCTGTTGTCCGTAAACCTTGTTTGTGCGCATTCCTCTTAGCAACGCAAGCACCGAGAAAAAAGTCCCAACACATTGCCACTGGGCAGGTCACTGTTACTCCTGGCGGGACAATTCAATGAGCCAGGACTTTCTATTTCAGAAGAGGGGATTTTAGAAGACAAAATGTCAGCTTATTCCCTCCTGCTCGGGGACAAGAACTTGAGCTTGTTTTAAATGCCACCCTCAGACTCCAGCCACCAATTCTGTCCTTCCCTATAAAATCCGTGTTTCCAAAAACAGGCTGAAGTCACCAAGGATGGAGAGCAGGGTCTCACCTGTCACACATGCCCCTTCCCATAGCCATCCTCCCCACCGACTCCTTAATTCTCTCTTCTGCGCGTCGGTCATTTTAGTAAAGTAAGTCCAAGCTCAGTTTTTGGTTGGAATGACATTTACTTCATTCATTCATTCATTCATTCATTCATTCAGTAAATGTCTATTTCCCTGCTTTACAACAAAACGATTTTCTGAAATAAATCTGTAACTCCCTAAGTCCCAAGGGGACGGCTCTACCCTTCTGGAGGACGGAGCTCACATCCCTATTAAAATCACAGGGACCCAGATGGTCAGCAATCAGATGGCCCCTGGTTCTTTCTCAAGACGCAGAGAAGTCACAATCTGTCAGGAACACCACACGATCTCACAGTCTCCCTCGACGTGCCCACCCCCAACCCCCACCCCATTCTGCTGGCCCTAACCAGGCTCAAGGAGATCATACTGTGTGTCACAGAAGTCACTTTACCTGGAAAAAGAGGATTATGTTCCATATCAGCCCAAGAACCAGAGAGGGGTTACCGTCTGCTATTTCTGCTGCGTCGATGCTAACCAGTTTAACCTGCAGAGAAGCAATTGAGGAGCTTAACATGGGGCCTTCCAGAAGGTTGCAGCCTGTTGCTGTGTGATGCCCTCATGGGCCTCTCGCTCTTTCTCGTCTGTATCACTCAGGCCTGCCCGAGGCCACCTCAGGGACCCTCGCGTGCAGAACACACGTAAATGAGTTTATTAAACGTGTCCAGAGTACCTACCAGTAGCCGCTATCATAAGTTCCTCATAAGGAGGAACTCGGTTCGACCTCACAAGCACCCCACAACGTAGGTGCTTCTGTTATCCCTACGTGTCGGGTGAGGAAATCTCACCGAGGCCAAATGTGACGTGCCTGAGACCCAGAGCCAGGAAAGGTCCTGGTCATTGTTTTCAAGGGGAGATGGTGAGTGCCCGCTATCTGTTTGCATGCCGCGCCAACAGCACAAAACCTCCACATTTAACACACGTTTGGACAAACACAGAGCACCAACAACAGCAATCATGGACCACTGATGGCTAAGATAATTATCCACTGCTAAGTGCAAACAGCGGCTTGCGGGGGGCGGGGAGTGCAGGGTGGCTCAGTCGGTCGAGCGTACAACTCTTCATTTCGGCTCAGGTCATGATCTCGGGGTTGTGAGATCGAGCCCCACGTCGGGCTCCTCACTGGGCGCAGAGTCTGCTCAAGATTCTCCCCCTCTGCCCCCCCATCCCCTTCCTGCCTCTTTCTCTCTTCCTTCTCTCTGAAAAGAAAGAGAGGGAGACAGAGAGAGAGAAAGAAAGAAAGAGATAAAGAGAGAGTGTTGGTATAAGACTTATACCCTGAGTATCTGCACCGTTACCAAGTATTTTGGTTAAAATGCTCCCATTACACAAACTCTTAGGGGACTAACCTATTTATTTAACTATGTTCTGACCACGGGATGATGCTTTTGGTGAATCCCTACGGCACTCGTTTTCAAAGTGTGTTCCCTGGGCCAGGGGCAACAGCATGGCCTGCGATTTGGTTAGAATACACATTCTCTCCTCATCCTCCCGAATCAGGAATCAGGAAGTCCGAGAGCGGGGCCCAGCCCCCTGCCTTGGAACCAGAGCTCCAGGTGATTCTGATGTGCACTCAGGGTTGAGGACGTCCCTTTATCCTGCGAACAGAATCTGAGTGCACAGATCCGGGCACAGATCCGCAACCACCTTCTGGAAAGGGCGGGAGATAACCACAAGGGTTTGTGGGCCACACCGGCCTCGGGCACATTGGCTTCTTTCCTTCCCAACTCCTCTACAGAAGTAAAAACCATTCTTTGGGGGCAGAGAGGAGAATTAAAGTCAGTCAAGTTCTCCTCCCAAATCCACCCGGCAAAATTCTGCCAGGAGACCCTGGAAAGGAAGAATGTGGAGCGCATCTCACTCAAATATTCCTCTCTCGCTCCTCCTCGGGCCTTTTAACAACTGTCCACGCGGGTCTCAGGTTCTCTCAATGTGTCAGGGGGATGTGATGACCCCCGTCGGTAGGGCTGGGCTTTCCTGATTGGGGGAGAGACTCCCAAGGTCCCGGTCTGCCTAGCAGAGAGCACACGATTCTGGCAGCTGGGAGCCCGGAAGGAATCCGTCAATGTTGTGAATTCAAGGGCTGATGGAATTTGGGTCCGGCGTTCTCTTCATGCTCCTCAGGGGCAGCCCCGTCCCGAGGGAGGAGTCACCTGCCACATGGGGGCCTGCTGTCTCCGGACACCCTTCGCTGACGGCCCCCCTCCCATCAGCGATGCCCTGCACTGGGATCATAGCAGCCCACGGGCCTGTCTCGGGCCTCACCCCCACCTGGAGGAAGCCGAGCACGGCCCTCTGAACTGGGCTTTTATGGGAAACCTTCCCAAGCCAAAAAATGCCAGAGCGGCCTTGTTGGGAGACGCTAAGTCGGCTGGTGGACCAGCCCCGGAGGATGACAGAGGCCGGGCCTTCCCGCCTTAGCTGTGGGCTTCCCCAGTCCTACCTACGCAGCCCGCCACCCCGGCTGCCCCCTGCCAACCAGGAAGGGATCATGGCTCCTTTGGATGCCCCTGGTGCGACACGCAGCGTGCCGGCCACGTGAGACCTCTCCCGCCAGACTCCAGGCTCCCCGAAGGCGCAGGCGTGCTTCTCACGCAGCTGTGGTCCCCAACCCTGGGCACAACCCAGGCCCATAGAAGACACTTGTTCAATGTGCTCCGAAGGGTTGTTGGAAGCAGACCCGCCATCTCCGCTGCCCACACTGCAGGCCCAACAACTCGGGCCAGCAGACAGGGCAGGGAAGGGCTGGGGGTCGACCAGCAGGAAGGAAGAGCAACGAACCTCCCAGGCACTAGTTCCTAGGCTCTACGCTATCACAAAAAAGGCCACTTTGGAATGGGGGAGACACTGCCCAGAAGAGTCATGCCCGGTGCTCCCTTCCAGAAGCAGAGATGCAGGGGGCAGGGAAGAAGTCAGAGCAGGTGCCCACGGAGCCCTGGCCCACGGCCAGAACTTGGCTGACCTCCACCAGGCCGGGCGCACCCAATTCTCAATTCTCTCTTCTGTGTTTTTAGCACTTTCATTTTACAGACTTGGGGACTGAGGCTCGGAGAGTCAGCCTGATTTTCCCGGGCTGGAAGCCCGCCAGGTGTGCTCCAGGACCCGTGCTCCGAGCACCACAGGAGCCGACGCCAGGGTGAAGCCAACGCCGCGGACCAGCCAGACATTTTCATGAAATGTGATCTGCTTTTTAAAAAAAAAAATGGCTTGGGGGCGCCTGGGTGGCTCAGTGGGTTAAAGCCTCTGCCTTCAGCTCAGGTCATGATCCCAGGGTCCTAGGATCGAGCCCCACATTGGGCTCTCTGCTCAGCAGGGAGCCTGCTTCCTCCTCTCTCTCTGCCTGCCTCTCTGCCTACTTGTGATCTCTGTCTGTCAAATAAATAAATAAAATCTTTAAAAAAAAAACGGCTTGGGGTGCCTGGGTGGCTCAGTCAGTTGAGCCTCTGACTCTTGACTTCCGCTCAGGTCATGATCTCAGGGTGTGAGACTGACCCCCCCGTCGGGCTCCGTACTCACCGGGGAGTCTGCTTGCGTTTCTCTCTCCCCCTCCGCCGTTCCCCCCACGCATGCGCACTCTTACTCACTCTCTCTAAATAAGTCAGTCTTAAAAAAAAAAAAGAACAGCTTTATTGAGCTGTAACTCACATTCCGTTCCAACTCACCGTGTAAGCTCTGTCAGTGGTTTTTGGTATACTGATGAAGGTACGCGCCTGTCATCACAATTTTTAGAACATTTTCAGCACCTCAATAAGAGACTCCATACCCTTGAACTATCACGCCTCTACAACCCTAAGCAGCCATGAATCTATTTTCTTTTTTTTTTTTTAAGATTTTATTTATTTGACACAGAGAGAGAGCACAAGCAGGAACAGCAGCAGACAGAGGGAGAGGGAGAAGCAGGCTCTCCGCTGAGCAGGGAGCCCAATGTGGGACTTGATCTCAGGACCCCGGGATCATGACCTGAGCTGAAGGCGGATGCCTAACCAACTGAGCGACCCAGGCGCCCCTATTTTCTGTCTTGAAAGATTTCCCACTGTTGGACTTTTCATATGAATGGAGTCAAAGAGTAACGTCCTTTGTGTCTGACTCCTGTCCTACGGCACAATGTTTTCAGGAGTCCACCATGTTGTACTTCACTCTTTTTCATGGGTGAATAATATTCCACCGGGGGACAGACCCACTTTGTTCATCCACTCATCTGCTGATGGACACTTGGGCTGTCTCCGTCTTCCTTTTCTTTTCTTTTTTAAAGATTTATTTATTTATTTATTTGAGAGAGAGAGGAGAGGTGAGAGGGGCAGAGGGAGAGAAAGAATTCCAAGTAGACTCCATGCTGAGCATGGAGCCTGACTCGGGGCTCGATCCCAAGACCCTGAGATCCCGACCTGAGCTGAAAGAGTCATCTACTCAAATGACTGGGCCACCCAGGCATCCCGAGTGCCCTACCCCTTTTTGGCTGTGTGAAAGCCGCTGTAGTAAACTGTACCAGGCTTCCTTGCTGCCATCACCTGAGCTCCCTCCTGTATCTGGAGCTTTCCCGACAGTATGGGAGGCAGAGCCCACCTCCTTCAAAAGGGAAAGGGCTTTCCCTCCCCCATGGTAACGTGGACCTGGACGGGATCCAAGCATGGTGGCCCAGGCCTTTGAATCTGAATGTATGACACTGAGAGTTCATTCCAGGGGCCGTACAGTGGATTGTGCACATGGGTCCTTACACTGTGGGGAGGCGGGCTCTGCAATGGTCCTGGTGCCTCACACCCCTGGATTCCCTGACGCCTCAGTCCAGTAAGGCACTCTCAGTGCACTCAGCAGCCCTTCCACGAATTCCTTTTCTGCTTACAGCAGCCCAGGTCAGCTTCCACTGCTTACCATTAAGAACCCCACATGCGTCACACCTGAAGTTTTCTTGCACGCTCCGATATGTGGGGCAGCTGTGGGATTTCTACCCAGGCTACCTGGTGAAGCTTTAATGGAAGAGCAGCTCTGGAAAGTTGTGGAAAGTCCCTCTATGACCGCCCCTCCCCACTTTTGAAGGACATGAAGCAGAGCCCAAAACACAGAAAAAGCTAACTTCAGTCTAGAAAGTTCCTTGCTAAGAGGAAGTCCCCACTGTGGCACGCTCGCTGCATCATGCTTCAAAGGGATACAATTTTAGTATATGTGCTGCCGAAGCGAGCACAACTTCAAAGGGATACCGAAGGAAATGTGAAATACTAAAGTCAGAGGGCCAGCCTCCTGGTCTACCCTTCCCATGGCTGGGTGCCCGGCAGAGACGGCATCGGATCGACAGGCCACGGCGGGCAGGGAGTCAGGGACCATCTGTCCAGTTGAAGGCTGGCCAGAGGGAATCCTGTTATGTTTAAATTTAAATTTTGCCGTGTTAGCAGGGTCCCCTTTTCACGCTTCTCCTGTGACTGGCCCTCGTCCTTCTCACTGCAAGAAAAGCTTGTGTTAACAAGATGTGTTTCAAATACTTACGTTGCTATCTTCCAAAAACTTAAGTGCTTTCGCTATGTTGTTCAACCGGAAAATGCGATGGGATGAGGACTTGTAGTCTTGCAGCTGCAAGACAGAACAGAGCAAACAAGTGGTGAGTCCAGCAGAGGCACTCCATGGCAGCGGGGCTGTGGGGCGGGCCTGTGTCGCTGTCTCTTTCTCATTAACCCCAAGAGACAGTTAGGGGCTCGCAGCTGAAACCCACCCCTTATGTACGGTCCTTGGGACTTAAACTCACTTGAGTTGGTGAATGGGGAGGACCTAGGCAGGTTAAACAGGGGACAGATTTATCAAATTGTTCTCTCTGACCCGGCTCCTAGCTTTGATATCGACCCCCATCCAGAGACCTCCAGGGATGCGTTCTCCCCACGCTGATGGTCTTGTCAGACAGGGAACACCAGCCGGGGTGTCCCTACAGCTGCTAAATCAGCCAGCAAGTCCCTCCTGCCAACAGCAGATGTGTCTGTTTTCTGCCAGGAGCTCTGTGGACAGTTGTCCCGGGTCAGAGAAAGAGGCAGAAGGACAGACAGGCAGAGAGAGAGACAGAGGGAGACAGAGAGCGAGAGAGAGATAGGCTTGTAGAAGCTGAAACTCTGAGGATGGTAGTTGACCATCCCAAGGAAGCGCCTCCGGTTGGGTGGGTTAACGTTACCACCGGCGGGGACCTGCCAGCCAGGCTAGCGGGCAGGCAGAGGCCAGTTCTTAGCTGGGCTCCAGAATCAAAGACCCCCCAACACAGGTCCACCAAGGACATGGTATCTATCAACCAGTGGCCTGGAGTGCAGAGTGGGAGCGTGTGTCGCTGGAACCACAGAACAAGGAGGATACACTTTTGCAGGAAGCCTGTGGGGACTGTGCTGCTGGCTCATTATCAGCCCTAAGGAAACGAACCCTGTTTTTACTGCAGTGGGTCCATCCCTTGTGAGAGTTCATTATGAGATTCCGCACAGCCCCCCTGGAGTGGCAAACAGGAATCTTCCGTTTTGCTTTGGGAGGTGAAGACGGGAAGGGTTAAATGGGTACGATGAGATCCCAGCAACAGTAGATCTGAAAGCAGGATGGGCTCTTGACTTTAACTATAATTAGAAGTAGATCTGGAGAGGTCCGCACTGGCCGAGCTATAGGCTGGCAGAGTTGTGACCATGGCTGTGCCGTCTCTTCTGCCGCCACGGGGAACAGAGGCCATATCAAATGCTAGACTCTAGAGTATGGTTTCTCAACATCAACAGCACTGGCATTTTGGCCGGGTCCCCATACCCCCTCAGTGGACATCTGGCAATGTCAAGTGACATTTTTGGCTGTCACCCCTGGGGGTACGACTGGCATCCAGTAGGTAGAGACCAACGCTGCTGTTATAGATCCTGCAATGCCCAGGACAGTCCCCACGACGCAGAACTATCAGACCCAAAATGCCAACAGTGTTGGGGTTCAGAAGCCCTGCTCTGGGAAGGGGAGAGAGAAAGGACCAACCTGCACACATCGGACACATACAACATGGAGAGGCAGGGTGGAGATCCGCAGTAGAATGACCCTTGAGCTTGGCTGCTTGAGTACGACACGGTCCTATCACACTCGCCCCTTATATGTGGTTTCACTTTCAGCTGACTGCAGTGCAGAAGCCGAGGACCCTCCTTCTGATGTGTGGTCAGAGGGTCAGAGTGGCCTCATGCTACGTCATGGACCTACGTCACTTCCCCTCGCTTCCTCTCACCACGTGGGCTTGATGTCATCTGACATCATCACAAGGAGAAGGAGAAGGACAGGACAGTAAGGCATTGTGAGAGAGGGAGAGTTCATATTCACATAATTTATTTTTAATTTAACTTATTTTTTCATGTTCATGTAATTTCTATGACCGTATGTGGTGATAGAATTGTTCTGTTTTATTATTAGTTATCCTTGTTAATCTCTCACTGTACCTAATTTCTAAATTAAACTTCATCACAGGGATGTGTGTATTGGAAAAAACATAGCATAGACGGGGCTCCGTACTGCTCCCAGTTTCAGGCATCCACTGGGGGTCTTGGCACATATCCTCCGCAGGTAAGGGGGAATGACTATACTTAAGAGAAGGTTCTAGAAGCCAGCAGTTGTAGTTTTAGCCTCAGGCGGGTAATGGAATCCGGTTGGCAAGATGCCTTTCTCCTCCAACTTCCTGATTCTTGGCTAGTTACTATAATGCCTGGAGAGCTAAAGTTTAATGATCTAGTTTCCATCTTTACCCTTAGCTGACCCCCGGAAAATACTGAGCATTTATTTATTTACTTACTGAAGTGTATTTACTTAAAAAAAAAAAAAAAAGATGCTGCTTAGCTGTCCATGATTGTATCACTCTTGGTCACTGAGAAAGGAATGTCACCCTTCCAAGTTTCTGGTCACGGGATCAGGCATGGCCAGGCATGGATGCACACATTATAGCTGTGTACTGAACACAAACCAGCAGTGTTTTCCTTTGCATCTGATGTCTCCCTGACCCTCTATGACATACGTACCAGATTTCGCCCAGACAGGACTTCTAACAAAGCCATTAGGATTTTGCCATCTTGTATATCAACGAATAAATCTTTAACTTCTAGAGGTGGGTTGCACTGTTGAAGAAGCGGAAGAAAGAAGCTGATTAGCAGCCTATGTAATTCACCAAACTGTGCCCGAGCTGCAGGTCTCCCCCAGGGGAAGATTTCTATGCATCCAAATCTGGGTACAGGCAGTCCCTGGGGGCGGGGGGAAGGCACACCTGGGCTGGTGAACCGTGGAGGAGACTTGGCACCAAAGGGCTGATCACAAAAGGGACCTTGGAGATCCCTGGGACCCTGAGATCTGGGACCCCCCATCCGCATTACATTACATCCACACTTCTCCTTAAGGGGAGAAAGAAAGGGTATTATCGCCCTCCATAGACTAAAATGATTCTAGCAGGACTTCCAGGAAATTACCTAGTATAAGCCCTTCACTTCAGATTTGGGGAAACGGGAGGCTCAAAAATGATTCCAGCAGGACTTCTAGGAAATTACCTAGTATAAGCCCTCCACTTTAGATTTGGGGAAACTGAGGCTCAAAGAGGCTAGGTGACACCCCTAGTGTTTGGGCAGATCTGCTCTTTCATACCATCAGTTATGTTCCTTCATCAGGACGCACTGGCTGCCCACGGGCGCTGTCCAGACCCACGCCACAATGGCATAATGCTGAGTCAGTGACCCTCTGGGCCTCAGTGCCAGTGTCCACAGGGATTCCCCGCCTCCCACACTGCTCCATCTGTGAACGTGACCATCCTGACGTACCAACTGACCCTCATCAATCTTCAGTCCAACTCTGGAGGTGGCGGGACCCCTGGCGGAGGGAGCCAGGAAGGCGGCAAGTGTGTGTGACTCAGCTGTGGTGAGTAGGGGCCAGATGGACAGATTGGACGACTGGCTCAGGAGGAGAATCCCTTCTCCGCCCCCCACCCCCACCAAGTTCGTAGGCCTGTTAGGGACTCAAAGGTTGGAAGGCTGATTTATCCATAAGTGTTCGTGTATATTTCTAGGTTTAGCCACAAAAGTAATCCATGCTCATTTTACAAATCAAACTAATTAAATTGTATAAAAATGTTAATTAGCATTCTGAACGCCACTCCCTTGGTTCTTCTCCAAAAGCCAGACTTCTGGAGAACCAGTGTAACCTCAAGACGCTCCTCTTACCTGTTCCACTAAGAATCAAGGGAGCTCCTGAGTTCAAATCCAGGCTCTACCCTCAACAGGAACTGGGCCTTGGGCATTTTCCTTAACGTCCCTGGGCCCAACTGTCCTGGTCTGCGAGGTCTTAGAGCCACACGTAGGCTTCCCTGGGGCAACTCGGCTCCCACCATCTGGAGCATGAAGGAGGCCTGGGAGGGCAAAGCTGGAGGCTGCCTGGGGTTTCCTCTCTGGGCCTGGATGCAGAGAGATCGACTGTCTAGGTGAACTGTGTCCACCAGGAGTCTTGCTGGACGTGTGGCCTGGGGGCTCCCAGGGCTGCCTGGAAACCGTCAGTCTGAGGCCCCAGCACACAGATCTCCAAGCGTGTTTTTCCTGGAACCCTGGCCTGGAGCAGAACAGCGTCAGGGTGTCTTACGGGGACCTGGGGGTGCTGAGAAGGAGTCTGAGCGCTTGCACCCCATGCTTCCATCAGAGAGGTGCAGCTCTTACTGGCCTTTCTTTCGGGTTCAAGGTTAACACTTTGCCTGAAGAAAGGTTGCTGTTGACCAAACCAGCTTGGTAACAGGTCCTTCAACGCCCTATGATTAGAACTTAGCGTACAGAATCGCAGGGAACAGACTCTAGAAATGCACATTTGTAATACGCCCTCACCTCAGCGTGAATTCTCAGTTTAGTTTTTGGTCGTGGGGCTTTTGGCAATATTGCAACAGGTGGGCCCTGCTCCTGGGTACAATGAATGGGCCGTTCACATGGGACACAGGACTGAGGGGTGGGGCTGGCAGCTGGAAACCAGCCAGAGACTCAGGGGTCCAAGCAGAGCCTCGGAAACACGGAGGAGCTGTGGTCTGGGCACCTTTTCCCTCCGGGAAGGCCTCCTTCCTGTGATAGCTTTGGACAGTTCTTGTGTTCTTTTTTTATGAAGGAAGGTGGCATTTCCTTACCCCTTATATGAGCCCCCTAACCCCCCGTTAGTCCAAATACAGGCCGATTCCTCCTGCAGGTGCACAGAAAAGGGATCTGCTTCTAGGGCAACAGTGCCTTTTAACCACCAGGCAAATTATTTTCTTTGCAAACCCCCACAGCTCCCTGGGCACATTCCGCTCGGAACGTGACGGCATCAGGTTACAGAGACTCTCACGGAAATGTTATTCCTGCTAACACGAGGCAGAAAAACGTGACGCCCGGACAAAACACCCCCTGATAGATGGACTAACAAATTTTCCAGGTACCAGCCCCGGCCACGGCCAAGCCTTGCTTGGGCGTCGAACCCGGAGAGTAATTTCCACCGACAGCATCTGGAAGGGCCTCTGAGCAGCAAATGGGGCCTTGGCCGGAGGCCACGCGGCGGGACGGCAGCGGGAGACATTGAACCTGCTCCAGCGAAAACACGGCCGGGGCCCCAAATGTTCCGCGGGCTTCATGAGATTGGTATGGCCGAGTAAACAGCACCCCCAGGGCTTTCTTCATGATCTAACTCCTTTGGTAAATGAAGGAATTTTTCCAGAAGCCCCAGACTCCGTAAATATCTCTGACAGCCTTCAAATTGTAGTTAAGCCCAGGTCCCTGAGCGGTTCCCGGGTTTCCTTGACATGAAAGGTTGGCCTTGAAAGTCTCCAGGTTGGAAACATGGCTGTTAATTTCGCCCTGTTTATTAGGCATGGGTTTCAGGTGTTATCTGATTTATTCTCAGAGCGGGGCGACCCACCTGCCCCGAAGAAGGGACGGGGGCCTTGGCCAAGGAGGCCATCCCTGATCCGACAGGCGCGGACGGGGGCTCCCCTGAGGCTGGTGAGTGTGTGTATGGGTATTTGCTGCATTACGCTCTGTCCTTTTCAGTATTTACTTTTCAATTAAGAAAGAAAGAAAGAAAGAACTGCTATGGCTGCCCTCCATCCACCAGGAGGAATTTCCAGCTAACACACATCAGGCATTAATTTAAGAGTCCTGCGAACTTAGATTGGGGGAACGGTTTTCCTTTTTTCCAAAAATAACACTTCGCAATGCACCAAGAGTCGAAACAACTGGCAAGTGATTTGTAACTTTGTATCCTGGGCAGTTCGGGAGCCCTCCTGGGTCCAGGGGGCCCCACTGTGCAGGTGCGGGATAGAGGTGTGGGTGGTCAGGGGCTGCTCAGGGAAACATTACCGACCCCAAGGTCAATGGCACGAATTAGAATCTTGGTCAAGAGCTGCACTTCCGAAAAACCACAATTATTTTCTTGGCGATCTCACAGATTTCCCCCATGACCCCTTCTTCTGGGTTAACTCTACGGGCAGTCAGTAGCTGCCTCTGCACCTTCTCGGAGGACAGGAGAGAAGAAAATCCACACACCTAACCTCACTAAAGTGGGAAACTTGAACATGATCAACTTTATAAGGAAACGTGCAGTGGGCTGCATCCATCGGGGGAACCACAAAGTGGAATTTAAGAAGAAATGATGGGAAGGAAATGCAGCCTGATGAATCAGCTGTCTCTTCAAATCATCTCTCCTCCCCCCACCCTTGGCAAGTTAGAATGTTCCCTGCCTCGGGGGTAACTGGTGTGTGTGGAGGGCTCAGAGGGCTCAGATTTCCACCGGCTCGGCTCGGCTCGGGGCTGGGCCGGTTATCCACTCTCCAACCCGCCTCTCCTCTGCAGCTCATCCTTCTGTCTGTTTCCCAGGGGCTGAAACAGCCGCTTTGGTTTTATGGTGACCGTGTGTGAGAAGTCTGCAGACAAAAATGCAATCCCAAATTGTCTGGCCCCAGAGTGTCAGAAAGAAAAGGGGGTAAAAGAAGTTGAATGTCAAGTTGAATACAGAGGAGAAGCCACTGGAAGAGGTTCCTTCTTGGTTTTAGGAAAACCATTTCAGGTCTCAAAAGCCTCTTCCCTCATTGGTAACAGGAGGGGGAATGAGGGTTGTCGTGGGGATTGAAGGAGACGTGTGATGCGCAAAGCCAGAGGCAACCAAAGGGGCACGTAATATTGCTGGTCAGTAGCGATGTTCTGTGATTAACAAGGGAATCTGGCTTTGTTAAAAGGTGTTGAGTTCTTGAATAAATCAATCCAAATACCTACAAATGACGCTCACACAGAGGGTCCCCTACAGTCCCCCTAGGACTGGAAGCCCAGCCCTAGCCCCACCCCAGGTCCCTCTGTTCATGGAGGCATCTGGGGTGTTCGACAGTGAATGTCTTCAAACATGCTCTCACTGATTCCTATTTAAAGACAGACCCTTTCCTTCTGCAACTGGACTGATCACCCCACGAGGGCAGAACCCTGTCTTAACGTCCGTGTTCCCAACACAGAGCTGGACACTTGGCAGTGAAATGTACTCAGCACATGTTTAAACGAACGCGTGAAAAAAGCAACAGCCAAAAACACCGAGCTACCCCTCCCCTCCCACCACGCTCCTGCACGGACACTCACGGATGAATCGGTCACTGAACGAAAGGCCAAGAGCCCCGCTTACCTTCTCTAGATGCAGGTTTACCCATCGCGTAAAGGTTCTCTTCTGCACATTTTCCCTTTCCACTGAAAACAAAGAAATGTCATTAGCTGGGTAAAACAGAATACAGGCAAAATGCTGCTCTCCTCTTCCCAAGAGGGGTTCCAGGCGGATGGCAGATGGACCCCAGCGTGCCCTTGTATAAGGGAAGTCCTTCCCGGAACGGGGTCCGAGACGGCTTACGTGGCACCTGGAATCCACTCTCCCCCAGCCCAACCCCACAGCCCCTTAACGAGAATAAATAACCACGAATTCAGACACACAGAACATGTTCTTTCCAGTAGGAAAACAGAGGCATCTGCCCAACATCACACAACCAGTCAGGTTATTCCCATTTTACTGATGATGAAACAGAGGGACAAACCGCTAATACGCAGCCAAGCTGGGACTCGGCAGCTGGATTCCGTGTGTTTCCCACTGGCTCCTGAGCTCTGCAGAGTTAGCTGGCTTGGTGCCCTGGGACTCTGGGACCCTGGGACCCCGGGACACCCCCCACCCCCCGCACCACAGCTCAGGCTGCCGCGCCCCTCAGGAAGCTTCCTTGAAATGTCTGAGCCAGAAGACTCCTGAATTACTAAGTTCTGGATTTCAACATATTGGAGGAACGTATCACACGTGCTTAAAACCATTCCATGTTTCTTTAGCAATAAGAAAATGGGAGGCAATTCATCTCCCGGGGGAGCCAAGGGGCTAGGGTTTTCTGTAACCACTATGGTTCTTTTTCCCTCTCAGCCTCATTATTAGGTAGATAGTGGTGCCTGTAAATCAAATTTTAATATTGTGGCTTTCAATCTTTTTAATTGAAGAGCCGGCAGACAGTAATTATGCACATTAACTGCTTTTTTCTCATTTTCCTCCTTTTCTGTAAGGAAAGGTCACTTAGCAAGCAGGCGTAGGAATTAAAGATCTAATTCCAGTAAACTGTGTTTTGTGGGTAGAAGAGGAGGAAAGGAAAAGAAGTTGATAGAAATGAGGGAAGGAGGGAGGGGGGCATTTGCTGAGGGCCAGGGGCTACAGAGACTCAGGGTTTTCCAGAAGACTGGAGCGCGCCCTGCCCCCAGCCCCACGTGGGACCTTTCTGCCTCTGCAGTGTTTGACATGGTATGGGTGTCCCACAGCTTGGTGGCCATTTCTCTGTTGATGGCACTTGGCAGTTTCCAGTGTTTCAGCGTCACAAGCAGTGTGGCAGTGCACATCCTTGTGTAAGTGCACATCCTTGTGTAAGTGAGTTCTTTGGGCACAAGCGTATGAATGTATGTCTCATGCCTGACAACTGAAAGTGCAACCGCAGAGGCGCAGCGGTGGGCACATTTAACATTTTAATAGCTACTTCTAAATTGCCCTCCCAAAAGGCTGCCCTCGTTTATACTCCCCCCCCCCAACCTGTCTTTAAACAAGTTTATGGGATTGTAAAGTATTTACACACACATTCAAACACTCAGGCTGGTTTCTCCATATGGCTTCAGAGAGAGCAAAGTGCGTCCCCTGAAACAGAAGTGCATTCAGTGAGAGCCTGAGAGAACCTGGTTTGGACTGTTGGTTTAACTACATGGAAGGCTACAAAAGAGGAAGTGGGTGTCTGTTAGTCTATGTATGCCTCATGTATCTATCCATCCAGCCACCCATTTGTCCATCTATTCATCCTTGCAAATATCCATCCATCCAACCATGTATCCAGCCATCCAATCATACATCCTTCCATCCGTCCACCCATCTTTCCACCCAACCATGTATCCATCCGTCCATCCATCCATCCATCCATCCATCCATCCATCCATCCATCCTTCTACCCAACCACATATCCATCTATCCATCCATCCAAACATGCATCTATCTATCCATGCATCTATCCATCCTTCCAACCATCCATGCAACCTTCCATCTATCCATCCAACCTGCCTTCCTTCCTTCCTTCCACCTAACCATGTATCCATCCATCCATCCATCTTTCCACCCAACCAAGTATCCATCCATCCATCCATCCATCCATCCATCCATCCATCCATCCAACCATCCATCCATCCACCATGTACCCATCCATCCTTCCATCCATCCATCCTCCTGGCTGATATTTAGTGAGTGATCATTACATGCTAGGAACTACGTCAGACCCTGTGGGCAAAGTCAGAGATAAAGAACACATTCATGGTAGGATTTCTGGGTGGCTCAGTCGGTTAAGTATCTGCCCTTGGCTCAAGTCATGATCTCAGCATCCTGAGATCGAGTCCCGCATCGGGCCTCTTGCTCGGCAGGGAGCCTGCTTGTCCCTCTGCTTGCTGTTCCCCCTGCTTGTGCTTAGTCTCCCTCTCTGACAAATAAATAAATAAAATCTTTTTTAAAAAACCACATTCATGGAATCTGCACCCCAAGAATTCACAGCTAAGCAGGAGAGAAAACATGGAAGCTAAAAGGCACATATGAAGACAAAATAAATTACAAGTTTCCAGGGCTGATAGGGATGAGAGGAGGTAATTTCACACCCTGGGGAGTACTCCTCCAGGGGTCCTAAGAGGATCCCACAGTAGAAGTGAGACATGGAGGGGGGCTCCTGCAGGCAAGGGCAGTGTCCCAGCCCTGCCCTGCCCCACAACCAATCTCTGGGAGGCTTCATTTCCCTTCCAGCCACCGCCCGTGGGTGAATCTTAGCACAGATTAGCTTTGACAGCAAAGCTGACCCACAGGAGGGCAACATGATGACGGAAGACACCAGGGGACCGTGAGACTAAATCACAAATAACAAATGAATCCCAAACTGAAATAGGGTATGGAGACTATAATTTCTGGACCTGAAACTGGGACACATTGCTCAATACACAGGAGAGAGAGACTGTGCGAATTTAGCCTGCCCCAGAATATCCCCTGTGAGCCACACACCACTAGCTGTGCAACCTTGGGCAAGTTCACGACAGCCAACATACCCTTGCCTTAGTCTCCCCTCTACAGAAGGAGGAAAACTGTGCCTTCCTCACAGGCATGCGGCGAAGATTCACGGGCATCACCCCCACAAGGCTCCACCAGCAGCTGCTAAGGGAGGGCCTCACGGTCACACGGCGCACCCGGGACCCGCAGTATTCCGTCTGCCGTCTCGGCACCAAAGTCTGACGATCTTTCATGACCTTCTCCATTTCGAGATACCCTACCCCACCCCACAGACTCTTTCTACTGCTGGCCCGCCAAGACTCCATAAACTTTATATAGTTTCCATAAATCCCGTGGCCCCTTTTTTCCTCCGCACCTATCACGTTGTAAAGGTGTAGGGAGCGATTTCTCTGGAAGGGGTCTGGCCTTTTCACAGAGTGTTTGTGGGGCCCAGAGTGGGGGTGCCGGGTAACAGCAGAGCAATAACAGAGCTATAAAAGCACCATCTCCGGGCCTGCCTGGCTGCCCTGGGTGCCCCAGTGTGGGGCAGGCTGGAGGAGGAGGAGGAGGAGCTTGCCAGCCCCAGGACCCACGGGAGAAAGGCAGAAAGGGAAGCCCAAGCTTTGGGCACAAAGCCACCGTCCTGAGTACCCCCCCCCCCCGGCGTGACTCTAGCCCCCTGCTTTGCCAAGAATAGACAGTTTCAGGGGTGCCTGGGTGGCTCAGTCGGTCAAGTGTCTGACTCCTGATTTCGGCTCAGGTCATAATTTTAGGGTCGTGAGGTTGAACAGAGCCTGCTTGGGATTCTCTCTCTCCCTCTATCCTATCTCACCCACATGCACACACGCTCTCTCTCTCTCTAAAAAAAAAAAAAAAAAAAAAAAAAAAGAATAGGCAATTCCAAAATGTGACCTTTCTCCCTTTTCAGGCCACTGGCGGCCCGTTCAGGAGTTGGGAACCACAGAGAGAGGGATGTTGGCTTGGGAGTGAAAATAGATTCATACTGTAGCCTTCTTTCCCTATGTCCACACTTCCCTTAAAACTACTCCTCTCTAACATTTCCTCTGTAATATCTCTGCTCTTCCTCACCCATGAGAAAGGCCTGATGGTTTATCTGTCTATAAGCACAAGCTCGTAATAAGAAAATTAAAATACAGGAAAGCATAGAGAAACAGATCTAAAATCTGTTGTTGAAATCTTATTACATCCAGAGATCACCACTATTGATAATTTATTGATTATCCTTCTAGAACCATGTGTGTGCACACTGACACACACACACACACACACACACACACACACACACACACACAGCTAAAGCACGAAGATACTCATGTATGCAACTTTAATGGGATCAGCAAATGCCTCGGTGTTTCTCAAAGTATGGCCCACAGATGACTCACACCAAGACCTTCCAGGGTGACTGTTAACTTGCTATTCCTGGACCCCATCCAAGACCTCCGGACTCGCTCTTTCTGGGGCCTGGGCCTGGGCACTTGCATTTAATCAGCTTGCTGGGTGACCACGTGGCACACTTTGAGAACCTGGATCTAACTGAGAAGAGACAATTGGCACAATCTCTTGGTTCTGTTCAGGCGGTGTCTGGCGTGCACCAGACCTGTCGCCAGGCATGGAAGGAACAGGCCGTCCGGAGCCCGGTACATAGAGGGCACCGGAGACCAAAGATAGGGGACACAGGTACAGTTCCCAGCTTGTCTTCCAGCAACAGGCAAAAAAAAAAAATGGTATTTCTTGTGCCTTCATTGTCCAAAGGGCTCTCCCTGAGAGTGGCTTTAGTCCTGAATTCATACACCTCTCTGACTCCCCAACAGATGAACCAGAATTTACCAGAAGGACTGCAGACCTGAATTTCCACAGGCGGCCTTCACTCTGCAATGTCCATTCAGACGTGTCAGCCGGGAGTGTTTCTTTCCAGCGTCAGAGGCACTGCCTGGCGAGAGGCAGGAGGCAGACAGGCAGGCTGAGGCCTCATCGCTCTCCTCCTCAGCCAGGCTGCTGGGCTCAATGCTCCACACCCACCTCCAGGAAGTCCTCTGGCTTTCCTGCGACCCTGGCCCTACTCCCCACGCTGGGCAGGCCCTATATCGGCTGACGTCCCCTCATAGGCCTGGCTCCTAGCCAGCGGTGCTCAGGAGGCGGGGGGGGG